TTTTTAATAAATTTTGCCTTCAAATTTGGTTTTTAGCCTTCAATATTGTCTCTCAAAGTTGATGCTTCAATTTGATAAGGTAGGAGATCCCTTTTCACAAAATTGAATGTCATGTCATGGTCCTTGATTGCCCTTTGGTAATTCAAATTGTTTTAAAATCCTAACTTCAAATGGCACATTTTTTTAAAGTTTGAGCCTTTGAATTACCTCAAATCTCCTGATCTTGTCCTCCAAATTTGTGCCTTCACTTGGCTGCTTAAATTCAAAGGCAACAGTCCTCCTTTTACAAGAATAAATATTAATACTATTTTTTAGATCTAATATAGTTAATTCTTAGTGTTTTTGAAAATTGCTCTTCTTCAACTATCTAATGTAATAATCTTTATTACTTTCTAGCTTGTAAGCAATGAAAAAGAACCCTTTAAAATAGAACTATCAAATTAGGAAGGTAGAATACCACTCCTTATTAAATTTGAGGATTCTTCTTCATACAAATTTTAAATTTTAAGATTTTTATGTGTAAAAATCCACAACAAAATGTATAAATTTTATTTAAAAATTCAAGAATTGTTTCTAGAAATTAAAAGAAAAAAGTTGAAACAACCAATTGTTTGCAAATCTTAAGAAAAATTTGGCATGGCTTTGTCCATCAATAAAACAAAAAAAAAGAGAAAGCTTGGATAGTCAAGCCACTCTTATACAATTGAGTAGAAGCTCATAGAAAAGAAGACACATCTCCATTTTTCATCTCTAAGAACCCTAATCTAGATCTATGGCTTTCATTCATCCAAAAATAAAAATCCAAACTTGAGGATGATGGCCATCAAATTAGCCCTAAAATTGGCTTTTTGTCCAAGTTAACTTTACCATGTATTTAAAACATATTTTCTAATAAAGATTGACTATTTACATACCTTTATCCATAAGAGTTTGAAATACTTATGAAGATTAAAAATATAGAAATTAGGATTAAATTTAATTTATTCCTAATTTATTTCTAATTTAATTCTAAAATATTTATAATATTAATATCTATATAATTTAAATTAAAGAAATATTATAATTAATAATAGATAATAAAAAATAATAAAAATAAATATTAAATCAAATATTAATATATTATTTATTCTCATAGTTTTCCTTTAAAAATACAAGTTTGAATCTTGCATTAACACTAAATTTCCTTCATCTAAAGTCCTATAAACTAACATTTATCTAATAATTGTAATTTGGCACTCTTAATGCATCTTTTTATTTTAAAATAATCATTAAGTTGATTTAATAACTTACACACACTACAAAACTTAGAGATACAAGATTATATGTGAAGATAAAGAATATATTTTTTATACTATTTAAGTTGACTTCTCAAGATATATTATTTCAAATAATGGTCTTATGATGGATTCTAAGAAAGTCCAAACTATTATGGATTAGAAGATTCTAATAACAATAATAAATATTATCATATTGTAATTATTTATAGTATGTAAAAATTAACTAAAATATATAATATATTTATAAATATTGATGTGCATTAGAATGGTTAGTAGGTTAATTTAAAAAGATTTGATATAAGAAAATTTATTTTGAGGTTTATTTATATTGATTATGGTGTTTAAAGTATATAAGATTTAGATATTTAGTATAAAATTTAAAGAGAAGATTCAGACTCAAAGATGAAGATTCAAACATTTGAGAATCAAAAGTAAGAATTGTAAGGTTTATAATTTGGACTACAATTTGTATACAAATTTTAAAGAATCTGGAATTAGGGTAATGAATTTATAGCCATTTAAAATTAAGGTGTCTTTTTAAGACATATTATTGCTCTTTTAAGGATACAAGGAGTTTTATGATAGATTTTCGAGATAAGGAGGTGCAATTGAAAGATGATTTCAAAACCTATGTCTTTTGTAAAAGAATTTTTATATTTGAAGTTTGTATAAAAGAGTAATAGAGCATTAAAGACAATACATCTAATTCAAAGGCAGTAAATGAGTCCTTTTGTTAATAGTTATGGTTGGAACAATATCTTAAGATTTCAAATAAATTTTTGGCTCAAAAATTTCTAAAAAGTGTGTATTATAAGGTTAAAAAACTATATATCAAAATTTAATGATATTTGAGTACTTAATTTGTGAGATATGAAGAAAATTGCACATAAGTATATATAAGCAAGGATTTGAAGTTATTATTAGAATTTTGGCAATATCTCAAGATCTATAACAAATTTGCAGTTGAAATTTGTTGTGATATTTGTTGAAAGTATATCATTACTTCATGTAAATTTTTTGTTTGTTTGAATGGTTCAATCATGAGATATGAATACTTCAAATTTAGGAAGATTTCATCTTAAGGACATATAAAGTTTTATAATGTTTTTATCACATTTTTGGTGATCTTTATATTTACGGCTTATGTATTGATGTAATTACTTCTATAGGAACAATTTTATATATAAACTTGATTTTTTTTTTCAACCTTGAGACTTAGTTGAGTAATTAGTGACAGCTAGAAGTCCAACACTTTCTTAAGGCAAATTCTCTCTATCCTGACAATGTGCAATATTATTTGGGATGACTTTATTAGGATTTGGTTGTTGTTTTTTATACAACCATAAAAATTACCACTTTTAGCTTTTACCAAAAATTAAAACTTATATAAATAACAATAATATAGAAGAAATTTACATTGGATGCCCACAAAAATAATTACAAATTGAGGCACAAATTGAAAATAATTACAAAGAGTGGCATTGGTCATCCGCATGACTCCTCAAACACAATCCAACAAGCCAAAAGAGGTATCCTTGTGTTTTGATTTGCCCCACTGTTTGTCAAACACAATCCAACAAGCCAAAAGAGGTATCCTTGCGTTTTGATTTGCCCCACTGTTTGTCATTGCTCCTATTTGTAATTATTTTTTGGGTGTGCCCCATTTTTTGTGTAAATTTCCTGTTATTAATAGTAGAAATAGAAAAATATGTATATTTAACAGCAAAACTGGACATACAGTTTTTTCAGTCCTAGAATTTAGTTTTAAACATTTGAAAGTTATGAGAACATTTTAGATTTTATTTATTTATTTATTTATTTACAATTCAAGTCATGTATTGTATGATGATTTTGAGGAATTGAAGAACACGCTACCATAATTCAAATGTAGCAAAAAAGAAGAAGAAGAATATATATATATATATATATATATATGAAAACCACTCACAAATCACAAATAAGCTGTCTGAGAAACTTTAACACCATGCTTCGTACAAAATGTAGTCGGATTTATTGCAACCCGTAGATTCCGATTATTCAAAACGAATGCATGTGATTGGATCCAACATGGGCATGTTGTGGGGCTGAATCTCATTTATCCACTGAAATTTCAACTGACAGTACCAATTGAGTCATCAAGATTTAACGAGAAAATGAGAGAAAGCTTACTGCATTGCAGAAGCAATCGAAATGCCACCAGCTGGAAAATTCAGACCCGAGAGACTCGAACACAATGGCAGTAGCGATGTGTGCCCGGTGATTGGCACCAAGCACTCCCGAATTCCAACCATTGAACAAGTTCTGTAGCAAATCATATATTTGTAATCCAGAACTCGGCACCTGGTCAAGGGCTGAAGTTGTGCTTCAATTATTGTGTTGAACCCAACACAATAATTCTGGTAATCTTGCGAGGAAATTCACTTTCTCTTAAAGACTCACATCGTGATTGATGCAAGTATTGTCATAGGAGACTAAAATGGCTGAAGAACGCAGTCTCGATCGCATGCGGAACATACCGAAACAAAGTTGTTGAAACTGCACCGAAACTGGGATGCACAGACATCTTTTACGTCACGAGGCATTGAATTCGAAGGTTGGATGAGCGAAATTAAAGAGTCGAGAGCGTTGAAGATGAGGCAGCACGGAGGCTGGAAAGGAAGAAAGAAAGGAGCAGGAGGAGGCGAGTGGGAGGGCGTCGGGGAGGGGCAGGAAGACATGGGGAGGGAGAAACCGTCCACTACGAGGGACGAGCAGCAGCAATAAGACTTGAGCATGAAGATGATTCCTAAAAGTTCGTAGTGGAGATGCGGGGGTAACCACGTGCCGAGTCTGACGAGGGCTGAGAGTCAAGTCACGATTACCAATCACGAGGTGCAGACTCCCCTCAAAAGTGCCTGCATTCACGCTTGGGGTACAGCACCATAATCATGCGAAGAGCTGGCGTTGGCACGGCAGACGACCTGTAGGAATGTCCAGCACCACGACAGACTGGGGATTGGCCCACCCCGGAATCCGAGCGGACACCCCAGCCCCCGCCCCCCCTAAGATGGTGGTGACTTTATAATGCTAAAAACTCAGATGATTATGGAAGGCATGCGAAACCTCGGGGGCTCAGTCACCTCCTCCAAGCGCCCCCCTAAGATCGCAGCGAAGGGCATCTTGCGAATCTACCTACTATTATTTTCATACCTCAAGTGGATCATGCAGCGCCACTTCCCAACCCAACAACTTTTCAACCTTGGTAGCCTAATGGTGCTGTTCCAGGAGCACCCGCCCATAAGTGCCGTGAGTTTATGAACACTTCACTCCCAACTCTCTGCTTCTCTTACGGGTTGGAATCCGCTAACGCGATTATAGCAGATGTGCCTGATTGTCCGCCTGAGGTTTGTTGAACCTGAGTCAACGTTGAAGCTGGGAGCGCATTTCGAAAGCGATTCTTACGGTGCTGTATGATAAACTCGTGGAAAGCAAAATTATAAATTGACGAGCGAAACATGCCGAGTTTCGGGGATTTTTTCAGAGGATGGTACCACGCGGTATGCATGATTCGCTGACGAGAAGGGGTGGCAATGGTATTCGATGCAAAATCGCCAAAACAAAGGGCGAAGTGAAAGGTGGTATTGGGGGGAGGTGGCGGTGACGACGGCTCGATGAACGGCAGATTGCGATCGGTATCGGAAGTTGGGGGGGGGGGGGGGGGAAGGTCCGATGTTGATGGTTGGAACTTGGGGTGCGGTGGGGGAGCTGGTAATAATGAAGTTGATGGGAGGCTTTCGAAAGCGTAATGTAGTGCGGATGGCGGGGGAGGGAAGGAGGGGAGTGTGATACACCCACGGAGCTGCAGCTTTCAAGCTCGAGAATAGCAGGATCCGACGTGGGACCAAGGCAAACAACAAGCTAACGCTGCCTCTACTCGAATCGCCCCGCGGAAGGAAGGTCGCCCGGGGACCAGGATGTGGAATTGTAGTTTTCACGACCTCTGACCGGCGTTACATCCGAGTGATGGGATGGGACGGCTGGACTGACGACGCTGCCTCTTGTTCTGGTCCTTTCCGGTTGTGCTGCAGGAGTCATGCCATGGCATCACACCACCCACTCCTTTCACGCCAACCCACCGAGCACCCCGAGAAGCACCACTGAGGGCCATACCCTGTCGCTTTTCTCCCGCGAGTCACCCATTTTCTGTGAGGAGCCAACAACCATTCCTTTCGCGTTCTGTTTCGTGTAGTTCACGGGCCATCAGTAATATACACGACCTGTGGTTGTAGGTTGACGACATCATAGTACCTCCGCCCCTGCCCTTGTTATGAGGCCACGTTGTGGTTTTCGCATCCGTTTAGTACCGGTGATTTTCGCAGTTTTCTAGGCAGTGCGCTGATTTGTAACAAGGGCATTTCAGTTGTTGAAACCCCCTTCCCCAAACAGTGGGACGGTGATGCCATACACATCTATGGAAATGCGAGGCTATTATTGCAGGAGAGATCAATTTGGCAATTGTGTGCAGTGGTAGAGAGGTTCCTTCAGGTGTTCCAGTGGAGTTGGCTTTTCCCTCTTCGACGCTCTCCCTGTTACGGTACTGCCTCGGTGTCTCCAGTGTTTTTGTGATGTTGTGTCAGCTTTTGACATGTGGTCACGTGACCCCTTTTTAAGAAGGTCAACGAAGGACTATCGTACCAGCCTCAGTAAATTAGGGTTACGGGGTTAAGGGGGAAGAATAAGAACGCATCATCGACATAATATTCACGTTCTCAGGTCATGCACCCGATGGTTGCAGCTATCACTTGTCACCTGGCATTTTCTGCATTAGGGGTATTTTCTTTCTTTTTAGGAGTGAATTATTAACATTACTTTGAAGGATATTTAAGTCTCAACAATATAATTCCTCCCCTAGTGCCCCGCACCTTAGGGTTGTTACGATGCTGTTTGTTTTAACATGAGTTTGAATGACTGCTCTATGATACAGCTGGTAACCTCCTCTGTAAATTTTTACGGGTGGTCTAACGTCTGGGATTTTTCCTTCAATTGCGATCAAGTGAAACCTTTGAAAGAACCGGAGTCCTACAGTACAAAGATTAAAGATTAAAATTTCTTTCTTGTAAGCAAGGAGCTGTCCGACTAGCAAATTCTTTTATTGGAGAACTTAAAATGTACGGATGGTTAAAAGTTCGCTCCACGTTCATTTTGAGAGCACTGTCTCAATAACACGAGATTTTATGCTCTTGATTTTAAAGTGTCTCTCCCCGCATTGGAACATATTCAAGCATCTGTGATGCTTTTGTATGACTCAGGATCTTAACTACAGGTCCAGGATCAGCTAGTGCCGAAGAGGATTCTGCAAGGCTCATGAACTTTAATTAGAAGCTCATTGGCAGTGTTTTATAATGCTGAGATTTCCGAATATCAATTTTGATCGGGGAATTGAACGCATTTCGCCCAGGGAGTCAAGTGGTCTCAGGAACGGGATCTCATTTTCGCAAGTCTGCAATCTTAGAAGTCAGGTGCTTTCATGGCTGTATTGGGTGTTCAGAGGTGCCCTTAACGCTAGCTATGATTCTGGAATATGGAAGTTCTGGCAAGATCATGGTTTATCAGTGACGTGATAGGGGAGCACGGGCGCATCATACACATTGAAATAGTGGGTCAGCGTAGGATATATTTCTTTCATAGAAGGTGAGATAACATTCATGTTGGGGAAGGAGAAGAGCAACGGCCTAGATTTTATGTTAGTAAGTTTTGGTGAGACATCTGGGTTGAGACGGGGGCTCTTCAATGACGAGTCGAGGTCTGTCCACATGCTCTTTTAGTCTTCTAGAAAGTCCAGATTCACACGCCGAAAGGGCAATTTATTGAAGGCGATATTAGTATTGTCGTTTTTGACGTTATTGTAAATTCTTTGAAATTTTATCGTGTACCTGTAATGATATTTGATGACCTTTATTGATCAGCCTGTGACATCATGTGTGCTTTTGTAAGAGAAAATGATCACCTACTACTTATGTACCTTATATTGAGCGTTAGACCAAATCTTTACCAATTCATCTGCTCTATTATTTGACATAGAAATAATCGGGAAATACTTGAGGTCAAGTTGAAGCAAAATTTTCTGCAGGGTAGTGATAGTCAGGAACATTTCTAGGAGTTGAGGATATCCATAAGTTTTGATTTGGTGACAAAGTCCGATGTCTTTTGTTTCTGACAGAAGAAACAGAATTCTATTAGAAGTCGAAGTTGTGTGATGATCCGGAATTTTTAATTATAATGAAATGTAAAGTCTTTTTGGAATCTTCCCTTGTTCTTACCTCCGTCCTCATTCATTGCTAATTTTAGAGTATGTGTCGAACAGTTCTAGATACATATGGAGGCGCTGGAGATGCCAAAAGAAAGGCGGATGAAGCCAAGTGGTACAAGGTGCAAACCTTCAATGGTAGATCCTGCTGCTAGTCATCAACATGTAAGGCTACGCATCAACCTCCCTATCTCGCCTGCAAGATGTTTTCCTGGCTCTAAGAAACGAGCAAAGTCCACTGGTACATCTGTCAATACACACCATGAATCAGCCATTTCGGATCTTAGTGACCACAAGTCTGGTGATACCGAGTCTACTTCACCTGCTCCTGAACACCAAGACTTCTCAAATACATCTTTGAAAGAACTTCGGGTAACTTCGAATCGCTCTTTTTCCATGAAATCCCTTTGATAGGAGTTGACTCATTATTTTTGTGCATCTGAAAGTGTCAAAGAATGAGTTTCGACTCAAAGGTCCGGAGTTTTACCATTACAGGTAACATTGTATTGAGGATGAATCCGCATCGAGGATCTTATTTGCTATGGTTGATCGCAACCGATGATAGGATTTTTTCCGGCACATGGATATGTTATTTGTACCTTTGAGCAATGTTCCCAAGGACTCATTCAGTTCGTTGCATTTATTTGTTTGGATTTCTTTGTTGCAGTTTATTAGGTTGCTTTAATTCATGAATTGTTGTGTTCCTTTGGTCAGGAAGATCGACTTGTCATCTATCGTCACAATAGTTATTTTTTTTTATGTAAAACAGGTGTTGGAAATCGAGGCTTCACGCACAACTCATGTTTGACCCTCAGACAAGTTGCTACACCTTGTGCAACATAGGAACTTAAGGCATTTGTGTCACTTTTTCGGGTGCAGAGACGATATGAGTCCAAGTTTGGCACAGTTGCTTTGTCCAACAACAGCGACTACCTCAAAAGGAAGTTGTCTGGTCAATGTGGTGTGTACCATTACTTAGTTATGAAGTTATGTAGCTCATGATCTAATTATCTTTTCACTACATTGTACTGAAAATCACTGCAGTTGTAAGGAAGCATGAGTCTCAAGTGTGGAGTTTTGTGTCTATAGGTCCATCCCGCTTACGGAGAACAAACCTGGATCATGATGTGACAATTGACAAGTCTCCGAGGAGATCTCCCAAAAGATCCCCATCGTCCAGGAGACGGTATTGGTGCCTATCACGGTCACAAGTGTTTTCTTTTTCTTTTTCTTTTTCTTTTCCCTCATGAAACATGGATTTTGATCTTTGTTTCTATTGGCCTACTCCACTTAGGCAGTCTCTAATATTTCTTACGCTGCTTCTTCTTCGTCGACCGCGTATTTACATTGGACATATACGCTTTTCTGGGCGAGTTCATCTTAATCTTCATAGTGCTTGAAACCGGGGCACTATCTTTTGGCGTGATTGGTTGCAGAAAGGTGGAGAACGTTTTAGAACCAGTTGCTCGAAGAGTGGAAGCTGAGGGAGCGGTAGAATCAGAACTCGAGGTTGCCGATGCCGGAGATGATGATTCAGAACCAGATTATGATATGCAAGCTGGGGATGCCTTCACTCCTTTGAAAAAACAACGAAGTGGTCGGAAATATGGAGGCGCTACTCAATGGACTAATCAAGCTGAAGAGATCCGGCGAATCGTCCGAAAGAAGCGGCGCAATAGAGCGTTTCCTCCACAGACACTTGTTTGGGCTAAACTTGAGGACCGTCCATGGTGGCCTGCAAGAGTACGTTGATTGTGTAGCGTGTTTTGTAGTTTAAAACTGTGAGATAAGTACATGCTTCTAGTGCATTGTCTTGTCCTCAGCTCAATGAGGAGATGTGTTTGTATTACAATCATTGTTTTATTGGTTGCGCTTGTCTGCTTTTATCTTGTTTCATTCTTTGTTCAGATTTTATTTTTTCTTATTTTGATTTGGATCCTTGCATCTTGTTGCTATCTTCAGTGCCATCAAGATGGCAAGCTTAGTTATATGTTTTCTACTTTAATACGTTTTGAATGGTTGGCTACCACCTAGTCATAAGCTTGCACAGTATTTTGAGCTACATATCAACCTAGTGACATTTCTATTGGTGGACTTGATGTCTTTCCGATTTTGACTCAAATACATGTGAACACCGGAGTTTCTGTGCTCTTAACGGTGTCTTTTAGTTGATGTTTTTGTTGTTGCCGTGTCAATACTGAGTATGAATTCATAATAACCATTTATGAGACAGTGTATTGAAGTTTTTTGTCGCTGTGACGTACAGGTGGTTAACCTTGAGGAGCTGCCAGAATCTGTGCTAGAGTATGTTCATACCTCGGTTTTATTTGTTGAAGTCGCATCTGTTCTGCAGAACGTGTGCATTAGAAGCATTGTGAGGGTAGTTGGTTTGATCATAGATAACTTGCTTTTGCCCGAGTTGTATCCTCACTTTTTCTTAGTGTGGTGATTTGTAGGAAGAAACTTGTGGGATTGACATGCGTGGAACTTTTTTGTTTACCGACGACTGATAAGAAGCGATTGTATGTGACTTACTCCTCATTGAACAATCTATTTTTGGACTCTTTTTTTTATCTTGTAGGGCTTTGTGCAGGGAACGACTGATTCATTCTCGAATGCTTGGTTTTTTTTTATAGTGCATGGTTAGAAAGGGAGAACTTGACCTCGTACAAGAAGTTCCAGAAGGATTTCAATGAGCAGGTTGGATACCTTATTCTCGTTCCATCAACCTTGTCGGCTTTGTGTTAATTGGATACTTGTGTTTGATACATTGAAGTGACGTTTTGAAGCTAATCCTAGTAGAGATGTAGTGTTAATTTAAAAATGTTAAGTAGTTATTTTTAGATTGAGACGACCTTACTGAATTTGCCAATGGTTTTTCCACGCGTCTTCAGAAGTTCCCTGAGCGGTTTGAAGACAGAAATTTTCAGTTGGCACTGAAAGAAATCTTCGAGGAATCAAAACGCAGACGAACTGCAGACATCACAGCAGTAGAAACGAACTTCTTTAGCGACGAGAGTGATTCATCCATGGAGCTGCGTTCATCCAACACTTCTTCAAGTGATAAGGGTGGGTCGGAAGCTTTTGTACCCCTGGGTACAGAGAAGATTGATAGAGAGGGGAAGCACTTAAAATACAAGGCGGAGATTGATCAAGGGAAATTGAAGCAGATAGGAATAAATAAAGCGCAGATAATGAAGGCGGAAGACTTGAAGCCAGCAAGAACTGTTTGGCCAATCAAAGGGGACGAAGATCAAATACTCTGGAACTTAAAGAAGTCGAAAGGCAATGGTGGCGACATGAATCATAAGAGGAAGAGATTTCTCATGGATAAGCATCTGAAAGAAGATTCACAGTGTTCCTCCGACGAGGCTGAGGATGTAATGATGTCTGATTCTCTACCGAATAAAGCAGTTAGTGGCTCCAAGTTCAATCGGCAAAGCTATGGGAAGAAGCTGAGTAGAAGTCTCTCACTTGCTGGGGACTTGGTCAAAGTCGACAAGGATGGGTCTCGGAAACCCAAGAGGACTGGTGAAGACGGGGTGAGGAAAAATTATTTTCCGCCAACATTGGTATAAAAAGCAGGCAGTGCCTTATGGTTGATCACACCCGTGTTTTCAAACAGTTGGCATCCTTTTAATGCTAGTGTGGGGCGATTGCTAGTTTAGACGGAGCGTGATTATGAACATAATATGGAGAATCATACGTCTTGGTTATTGTTCAACGTTATAGTTTTTGATAGTGATAAAATGAGATCCTAGTGAATGAAGGGAGTACCTCTTATAAGTTTTGAGTGTCCTTTAAAAGTTTTGTGGGTACTTTGTGGACAGTATTACTATGACTGTGAGGTTTGCGGCATAGGTGGTGAATTGCTGTGCTGCGATCTTTGCCCTCGTGCTTATCATCTGGAGTGTTTGATGCCTCCTCTTAAGGTAGCTTCCGATTACTTCTTTCTATTTTTTTGCTGTACAGGTCAACCCTTGATTATGCTGCACCTGCTGATTCTAATGGACGTAACAAATGTGATACCACGGATGAATGTTGACTCAAACAAATGTTGTGCATGTGATTTGTGTGTGTGTGAAGCGCACTCCTCCAGGCAAGTGGGTATGTCCAACATGCCGCGACCGATCAGGGGTTATGAGATCAGTTGGCAGTTCCTTGGCTGACGTAAGGCAGCAAGCTAAAGTCAATTGTGTTAAGGATCCTTCAGCAAATGCTGACTACAAGGTACTTTGTATTTACAGGGTCTAAGCCTATCACATACTGTTCGTGAAGAGATTCGCATGAGCTCAAATTCCAATTTGAATTTTTAATGGATGTATGGTTTTTGTGATTATAGTTAGTTGGACGTAAAGCGAGCTTAGTATGAGTTTAACAGGTATGGCGAAAAGAGAAGCCCGTGGTGCCCCCGGTCATGTCACCAAACAGTCTTTCCAAGAGAACGAGAGAGGATTCGGATGCAAGGAGGCGGAGGAAGCGTGCGAAATCTAGGGGAGGAGAAGATGGTCAGAGGAGGCTCAACTGTGGCTATTGTGGGGTCGAGACTTCTGTGTTACGAAGTTCTGGTTTATGTGACAAGTGCCACTCTGAAATCAGGGTGGGTATTGTTAATGAGAGTCCTTCGAATATCGCCCCTGTGGAATGCGTGGAAACAAGGCTAAAAGAAAAGGATAACCAAGTAAGTTTCTTGACAGAGGTTTCACATTACTAGGGGCATTTACCTTGTAAATTAACAAGTATGTTGTTCTTGATTGTCCTCGCCTCAGGAGCACATGTAGTGTTATGATGAGGTGCGGCTCTGTCAAGCACAGCATATATTAATATCTTTTCTCCAACTCAATCATTTTGTTCAGAAATCTGGAAGATGCCGTACATGTGAAGAGCCAGGTGTTATAATTAGCTGTGAGAACTGTTCTTGTGCCTTCCACAAGGAATGCATCGTTCATGATCTGCGGGTGCAATGTGACTTTTGCAAAAAACACACACACAATATATATATATATATATATATATATATATATATATATTGCTGCTTCTTTACTAGTTTTGGTTTAAAATCTTTGGTTAGTGTTCCCGCTACGGAGAGCGTTAGTCAGGTTTGTGCTCTTGATTAATGAATTGGGACGAGGGATACCGGTTGTGGCATATTTTGGAGACAGCAATGGAGGAGGATGGAAAGCTATCTTTTTCAAATTAGTGCAAAGTAAATGTTCATTTTGTTTACTTTGTGCAGAAGACCCCCAAAACCCCATGGTTTTGCTCTAATTGCATTTCAGAAGGCGATCATAAGCTTGGGGATGAGCAAACTTTTGATGCTTTATCTGCCGAGGTCAGCTTTTCATCTATACAATAATTAGGCTTCAGAAAGTATCACTAGGGTTACTAAAGTAAATGATCAGATCGAATTATTTATCTCAATTTTGCTTAAAATATATTTCAGAGAAGCGCATCCAACGTTAACGACCGACTGGTATGTCTCGAAATGATCTCAAGCAGGTACATTGTGTTCTTGGTTGTCGGTTTACAACCGGTCAGGGTTCGCCTTTACCCAGATGTATTACTGAGATGAAGAAAGATAGGCAACTGAAAGTTGACACTCAGGAGGTTGAAGAGGAGAATGCCAATGGCTCCGTGTCAAGCATACTTGAAAGACCTAGCGATGGTGCAGTGATAGAATGGAAGGTTGTGAAAAGAAAGCAGGCATCCGATGTGGATCCAATTGGTGCAGCTCAGGTGGCTGTGCCGATGGACATAGATTCTCTGTCAGGTATTTCTGCTGGAGCTGGTACAGTGGTAAATATGCAACGCAAATCAGCCGACTCGAAAGAAGAGGAACTGAACGCTAATATATTTGTGTCAGAGAGTGAAAGTATTCCAGAGAGAACATCTGCACGGGCTATCACTGAAGATAGATTATCCTCTAAATTGTCAAGTAACGGTGCAATTCAAGCCGTCGAGGGTCCTTCCTTTGTGATTGAGATTGGCGGCCATGATATGAATTTGAATATCCAGTTGCCGCTTGACAATGTTGCAAAGACTGATGGAAATGTCACAAGCAAGGACATTACATGTAGAAAGCTGTCGAATTTCGTATTAGGGCAAGACGAAGAAGTAACAACCAAGATCAAAAAAATTGAGAGTGGGAAAGACATAGCTGGAGATGTCGTTGTGGAGAAGAAAGGAAACACAGGACCTTTGTGTGACAGCAACACTTCTGGCACTGCTGAACAAAGGGGTCAATCTTCACGAGTGGAGTTTCTTGTGAAGTGGCGAGGTAGGTCCCACATACATAACGAATGGGTTAGTGAGAAGAGGCTGCAAATCATTGCAAAACGAAAACTGGAAAGGTTTACGACAAAAAATGGGAGAGCTCCCCAAATCATTCTGGATGAACAATGCTTAAAGCCGCAGCGAGTATTAGCACGCAAATCAGGCAAGAATGGCTGTTCTGAAGTATTAGTGAAGTGGCACAGCGTGCCGTACGATGAGTGCACTTGGGAAAAAGAAAAACATCCTGTTATTGCTGAGAAAATTGAGCTACTTAAAGTTTATGAGCATTTTGAAGCAGCAGCAGTCGCAAAAAAGACCAATGTGGTGGCAAATGATAGCCGTCCTTCAGAAATTAAAGAACTTACCGAACAGCCAGAGTGGTTTAAAAAGGGAGGTGTGCTGTACCCTCACCAGCTGGAAGGTTTGAACTGGTTGAGGAAAAGCTGGTACCAGCGCAAAAATGTGATACTGACAGATGAGATGGGCTTGGGCAGGACCAGATCGGCATGCGCATTTCTATCTTCCCTCCACCGTGAGTTTCATGTAAACGGTCCTTGTCTGGTTCTTGTGTCTCTTTCCACTATGCCGAATTGGTTGGCAGAATTTTCTATATGGGCTCCTTTCTTAAATGTCATCGAATATCATGGTTCCGCGGAGGCAAGGGCTGTGATCCGGGAGTATGAGTGGTATGCCACGCATACTGGAAAATCAGGTGATGAGGGAAAACATCCAGATTTCCAAGCATTCAAATTTAATGTCATGCTTACACCGTATGAGATAATGATTGCTGATTCAAGTCAGCTTCGTTCGGTTCCTTGGGAAGTCCTGATAGTTGACGAAGTTTCCATACTGAAAAAATTTGAAAGCAAGCTCTCTACACTCAACACATTTAAAATTGGCCACCGAATCCTCTTGAGGGGCACGCCTCTTCAGAATGATCTGGATGAGTTGTTCAGCCTTCTCAATTTTCTTCAATCCGAAATATCTCTTACTCGGGGTTCATTTGAGCAGAAATTCGGCCATTTGAGCACGTCTGAGCAAGTGGATAAGCTCAAGAAACTCGTTGTGCCTCACATGTGTGAGTTAAATGAAAACGACATGCAAGATAAACTCCCCCAAGCCGAGCGGGTTGTTGCTGTTGAGATGACGCCTGCGCAAGCAGAGTATTACCGTACTCTTTTAACCAAAAACTATCGGCTGCTAAGGCAAGCAGGTGGTGGCAGGCCAAGCGACCAGAATCAGACTTTGCTGAATATTATGATGCAACTTCAGAAAGTTTGCAACCATCCATACCTTCTTTCAGAAATGGAGCCAAAAGCAGGAGATGCCAAGCTTTTGCATGAGATGCGCATTAAGACATCTGCAAAGTTGACACTTTTGCACTCCATGTTGCATCATTTGAAGAAAGGAGGTCACCGTGTTCTGATTTTCTCGCAGGTGACAAAGCTTTTGGATATTCTGGAAGATTATTTGTCATTTGAGTACGGTCATCAAAGCTTCGAGCGAGTAGATGAGTCAGCTCCAATGACTGAGCTGCAGAAAGCTATCTTTCGGTTTAACCAGGATCAGTCCCAGTTTGTGTTTCTCTTGTCCACACGCTCATGTGGATTTGGCATTAATATGGCCACAATAGACACGGTCATAATTTATGATTCAGACTTCAACCCTCATGCAGACATCCAAGCCATGAACTGTGCGTGCCGGATTGGACAATCCAAGACTCTACAGATTTACCGTCTGGTCGTTCGTGCAAGTGTGGAGGAACGGATTCTTCATCTTGGAAGGAAACAGTTGACGCTAGAGTATCTGCGTGCAAGTACATCTGGCTCTCAGAAGGAAGTTGAAGATATTATCCGATGGGGTATTGAGGAGCTTTTCGCAGAAGATAAGTCTGAAGAGTCTTTTGCTGTGTTTAATGGGGAGAATAGTGCTCGTGATGAAGTTGGAATGAAGCGATCAGGTGAGAAATGTGAGAATTCAAGTGTCCTGGATTTAGGGAGTGAAGGCAAGTCTAAAGAAGGAATCGTTGTTCGAGATAAATTTCAAAAGAAAGTAAACGTTGACAAGGTGGTCTGGGATGACTTCGCAGTCTCCCGATTGCTAGGCAGGTCAGAGCCAGCAACTGCCAACGTAAAAGTGGCTGAAAGAGACCAAGACGGTGACTGGTTGGGTTCTATCAAGGTGGGTAGCGTCCCTCGGATAATTGCGACGCTATTAAGTGCATGTTGATGAGGAACTGCATAAGGCTAGAGGCCGCCCTGATGATATGTTGAGACTCCTCATTGGAGTATCGGGAAACGTTGTTTGAAGTTAAGATTGTGCTTCCTTAGATAGGAACGTTATAAAGGTTTTTTCGTAAGCTACTTATAACAAGTTTTCGTTTCGTCGATTTTGCAAAAGAATCTTACAATTATCTATACCGGCGGCGGATTTGCAGACCTGGACCTGGAACGTAGTGGATGGCGTGGTGCAAGTGGCCTGTGGGGAAAATGCTGCAAAGGATATTGAAATTGCTGAAAAGCCCATTGTTTCTGCTGTTGGGGAGCAGAACAAGTGGGAGAAATTTTTGCGAGCAAGGTACGAGGAATTCGGTGCCTTAACTTTTTCGAACGTGGAAAGTGAGCTGCAGTAAATTAGGGGGTACTATAAGTAGTGATTGAGTTATATAAACAGACACATTCTGTTATGCTCATTTTTTATTATTGGTATTGGCATTGCCGCAGATGGGAGAGGTTACAAATAAAAGAAGGTACACAAGGCCGTGGAAAGCGGGCACGGAAAGATGTTTTCCACAATGAGTCTATGGTTTTGAAATCGGTGCAGGATTCTTCTGATGTAAGTTTACATTTCAAGAATTCACCTTCTAGCATTCAACAAGAATGGCGGCATAATGTATATTTTGTAGATTTGAGTTAGGTTGACCAAGCTTTACTTTCATACTGTGTAAATAATATTCATGAAATTCAGATCGGTAAAAATTATTGCATGCAGAATTCGGAGGCAGAGTTGGATGGAGATCATTTATCTGAGTCTGTGTCTAAGTATGGTCCTCTCTTCGAGCAGCTGCGGTAATACTCCTTCTTTATTGTTCTTTTATTGTTCCGATTGTTTCATAACTTTCTGAATTAGACTTCTCCAATGTTCTAATTTGGAGCCTGCTTCTAGCACCTTTTGCTCTTTTCCAATATGTTTGAATTGTCTATATGTTTCTTTATTTACAGTGGAAAGTTTCGAGCCAATGATCAAGTTTCAAACTTAGGGGATGACTTTCAGCTAAACCCTGCAAATGATGGGAAACCTCTCAATACAACTTTTAAGGCTCCAGCTTCTGCATCTCCCAATCCACTTGCATCATCATTCTTTGAAGTTGCTACTCATGATGATCATCCGGAAAAATGGAAATCCAACTGTCATGATGACCTCTTGGACGGCTCGGCGAAATCCAGCGCCGCTCAAGTTCCTGTCACTATTGATCTTGAAGACAAATCAAGAACGATGCCTTCCATTTATATCATCAATGTAGAGCAGTCAAGAAATGGTAATGTGTCTTATCCACATAGGGTTTATACTGTTCCAGGAACACCAGTGGGGCCAGCAGGGGAGCAATTACCTTCCACTTCGAAGTATCTTGTTCCTTTTTCACTGCTTTCCAAAGAACAGATTGACCCTGATTTGAGTATACTAAGAAAACGATTAGGCCGATGTTCGCAAAGCAGCTCGAGTTCTCAAGCCATTCGACCGCTGTTATCACCAGCAATTACAGGAACTTGCGGCCAACATGGAATAGGCGGGCACACAACCATTAGATCTGTTTTGTTTGACGGAGTAGCTGGATCAAGGGCTCCTCGAGCAGGTAGTGAAAAGCGTGTCTCTGATAATCCTGGAAATAGAAAGCCTGATGGTGAAGTGCCACCACTCCAACCAGATCCCTTCCAACGGCCTCATATTAGAGAGGATCAAAATTCTGTTATGCTGGTACGTCACATCCAAAGTAAACATTGCTAGCTGCATAACATTAGTAGCTTTTGTGGACATATTTACCAAAGAAAAATAGGATCCATCATCACTGGTTCTTATGGACATAAAATTAACGAGTGGGGATTGGTACTAATATTTTGAGCCACTTGTGGATGTTGGTTCTGCATTTGGTGGGTCAATGTCAATCGTTATTGAGTAGTTTGTCTAATATTAGTGGTGTGTGTGTGTGTTGTAGTCGACTTCTGAGCTTCCTGACGTCCCTCACGCAAGTTCCATAAAGGACGCTCGGGCTGCAACGCGGTCGATGAATACGCCTGAATTACTCAGACGCATTCCCAATAAGAAAGGTGGGAACATATTACCTCCTGCGTCCACTGATGGAAGAAGTTCCTCTCAATTATTATCAAATGGTACCTTACCTAATGTTCTGAGATCAAAGCAATCGAGCCAGGGATCGCCAAATCTCTCTATGTCTCTTGGTTTGGGGGGCTTAAACCTAACTATCCATGACCAGGCTTTACTTGTAAGGGCACGAGCTAACCACGATTCCCGAAATTTCGCTCGGTTACACAACAAAATGGTTACTTCATTAGGGGGTCCCAGTTTTTCAGGTGGTTTTGGAGATGTCACTGGAGTTCACATGGGGGAGACCTCATTGGCTTCTGATACTGTTGGTCATCATGAGGGAAGATCCTTAGGTGGGGCTTTAAGTTTCCCAAGTTGCTCGCAAGATATTGTCGGCTTGCATAGTGTGCACAAGCATGAAATGGGAAAGGAGAGTCTACCTTTCGGAGAAAATGATGCCAGGTTGAAGCATGGTTCACAAGTTGAACCTTGGACTGAAGACGAGCTTGATTCTCTGTGGACAGGTACTATTCTCTTAGTTCCATTGTATAGGTTTTATTGGTTGGTTTCTTTTGAGTTTTCGTGCTCTTATGCTCATAAACATAATTTGAGATGTGGTAATGTTGGATCTTATCTGCTGACATTGAGACAAACAATTGTATTGTGTATAGGTGTACGTCGTATAGGCTGTGGCAACTGGGCAGCGATGCTACTGGATCAACGTCTGGTTTTCCACAAAAGCCGTACTTCCCACGATCTAGCAGAGCGTTGGAGAGAAGAACAATTAAAGTTGTTTGGAGCTCCACTCGCTGAGATTGAAAACAAGCCCGTAAAACAGGGTTACAGTCCTTTGTCTGGTAGAGAAGATGGAATTGGTCAGAGATACCGAGATCACGCTTCGGCTAGTAAGGAAGGTGCAGTGAAGGAAACGAAAGAATGTGCAGAGAGTTTATTTTCTAAGGAAACCACAGACTTGAGCGGTACTCTGACGGTCATTAATCCCGGCTTAGGAGCTACCTTGGGGGAGTTCGACAGGAAGCAAGTAGTGAAGGGTCTGCGGGCAGTAGGTTTGTCGCATTGTAGGTCATCTAACATGACGAGCAATCCAGCTATTGATAGTGTGGAGTATCCCAAGGTCCACGAGCCATCCTCTTCTCTGGAACTAATCAATTCTGTAAGATCCCAGGGTAGTTCTGCTCGCGAGGGCTGCAGTGCGACCAGATCTGAGTTGGCTATGGAGAGTCATACCAACGAATCTGAGAAGTGGGAAGGAACTACTAGTCGAAGACGTACTGATATCGCAAAAGAATTGTTGCGGCAGTCGCAGCCGCAGAAGACGAATTTGCCTGCCTCTTTTCTGTTAAATCTCTCATTCAATCAATCAACTGATGCTCTGGAAAAGCATTCGCAGGAGTTGTGGGACCAACATACTCTGCCATTGCTTCCACAGGTGTCAGCATCTGGCTTGGGGTTATTGGCGCAGAGCCCTAGTGGAGCGTTCCCTCAAAATGCTTCGTTTAGCCTGCAGATGCAGCAACCCAATTTTTCACCCAGGGGATTTCATGATTCAAGGGCTTCTCTATCATCTACTTTTGCGGAGCTAGATAAAAGGAGGTTGAAAATAGGACTTGGACCATCCAAAAATTCAGGCGCTATACGTTCAAATGAGGCCAACCAAAGCATGCCTCATGGGTTGCGTGAGGCTTTTAAACCTGATCAACCCCCTCCAAAAGCTGCAATAGATTCTCCCATGATCACCGCTGTTGCCCAGGCCACCTCGTTCTTGTACAAAGATTGTATTCCCTTTCTGCCGCCTGTTGTGCACCCTGGCCCCCTGCCCACACCTCCAAAAAGAGCGGAAAGGAACAGAAAAAGATCTGCTGCTGCGGAGGCTGAAAGTGGGCGTGGCACCGAAGCGCTTGCTGGAAGAAACGAGCTAAATTTTTTGATGTCTGGTGTTGATGCCACAAACCCCTCCCTTTCTTCATCCTTGCAACACTTTGCATCTAGTTTGAATGCGGGATACAATCCTGGAGGTCAAATCGCTAGTGTTCCTTCTATCTCATCATTCTCAAAACGCCATGTTGATTTCTCCGCTTTGCCCTCTTTAAACTCACCTGCCCAGCTTTCTTTCTCTAGATCCTCGCCTGCCTTGGAAGAGTGGATGTCTCTGCGCAATCCATCCTCATTGCCTCCATTAGCCCCGACTTTGAATGAGTCTGTTACGGGTGGATCGGTGCGGAACTTTCATGCACATAGCAATGCCCAGGTTCTGGACTTCAAATCCATTGGAACCAACATCGTCTTCTCAGCCAAGGATGCTAAAGACGGTCGCCCTCAAAATTCTAACTCATTCTCTGTTAACAAGCACTTGCCGTTACTCAGAAAAGGTGACAGTGGATCCAAAGAAGCTGCCCATTTTAGATGTAGAAAAGAAGCACTTACGGGGAGGCGCAAGGCATGCGGTTTGCGGCTTGCAGTAAACAAGATGCTCACCCACGAAGGGTCATCTGACTCCCCCCACAAGCATCAACAAGATGGCAGTCTGGGATTGCGGTTGCCCTGTTGGATGATAGCTGCTGACGTCAGTGCCAAGAGTCGGCAAAATGCATCTTCTAAAGCATCTTCAAAGCACATAAATGGCGACTCCTCTAGTGAGACAGAATCGGATCCCCGAATCCGTGGTGCAGGGATGGCAGGGGACGACGACGTATCATCAAACGAAACAGTGTCGGATGATCGGACGCAGTAGAAGGTAGGCAAGATTTAAATTTTGACTGAGAATTTAGGACCTTGTGTTTTAGGCATGTCACAAGTGAACACTCTTTTAAGAACTTCAAGGACAACCTTCATTCCAGTGCATATGCCTCACCTATTACTGTCACCTCTGATTTGACTGATCTCCAATGTGTGCTTGCTTCAGAGAGTAATAGGTAGTAAGTAGATCACCTTTCTCTTAACCTGGGAGATGACAGGAAGTATTTGTTCATGTAATTTGATAGTCGTTAATTGTAGTCCTAGCTCTTTCAAGTCTTTGAGAATGAGCTTGTACATATATGTTAAAATTGTGCACAAAGACGAAGCTACTATGTGCTGCTTGAAACTTTTCAGCAAGTTCGTCGAAGTTTGACGAACAATTTGTAGAAAGGGTAGTTTAGGAGATGACTTTACTGAAGTGTAAGGGGATAACTTTAGAACAATGGTTATCTAGTATGTGCATCAGCAACCCTGAAATCCTGTTCCCCTCTTAGTTGTGCTTGTAATTACTTCGTGTGGGAATTTTCTCAAAAATATCTTTGAAACAAATAACATATAAAAATTTATATAGATTATTATTTATTTTAGATACTAATAAATAAATAATATTAAAAATATATTTTCTTGGTCAATAATTTAAAATTTTCTAAAAATTATTAAATGAATTGTCATTCAATGTGAATATTATATAAAACAACTTATCATCATTTAATTAGCATAATCTTTTATCTACGATTTTATTTTTTGATTTTAATTAGTAATTGTAATTAGTATTTTAAATTTAATATAAATCCTACTGTGCTTAAATTAAAAAGACATAAATTCAAGAAATAAATAATAAATTAAAATATTATAAATAAATAAATAAATATGTCACATTTATCTCATCTATTTTCATCTAATTCTACCTACTTAGACAATATAGATCTGTATGGAATGTTATAAATAATAAATAAAAGATGTATTTTTAAAAAAATAATAAATCGATAGCTTTAGAAAATATATTTATATTTATATATATATATATATAAATATAATTAATATTTATATATATACATATAAATATAATTAATATTTATATATTAGTATCAAATATCTTTAAAAAATAATGATTTTTTTATATATATAAAATCAAAATATGCAAAAAATAATAATATTTGTACTCATTTTTTTTGCAAAACTACCATCTTCTTTTATAGGAGGAATGTAATTAGTATCAAGACCTTGAATCAAGCAAACCTTACATTTTAGTAGAGATGGGAGAAGGGTTGGGAGGAAGATAGTGGTTGAGAATGGAGTATGGAAATGGGAAATGAAGGACATAGGATAAGAATGGGATTGGGGACATGGGACTAGTATAATTTGAATCATTTAGTGAGAAGGAGAGTGTAGCTTTAACAAGTTCCTATTTTTATTATAAATTTCATTAAGACACATCAAAAATTTATGGCCCTCTATATATTACACTCATATTGATTAAATTTTTATTTTTTTTCTATTTCAAGAACCTTTAAAAGACTTACTTTCTTTTAAATAATTGAGATATATTAAAAATTGTTATTTTAAATAACTATACTACATACAAAATCTAAGCTATTATTTATACTTCTTTTTTATTTTATATAACTAAAAAAACCATAAAATCTTTTATTTATTAATACCAAAAATTTACTTGGTGAATATGTTAAAATAATGTTCTTTGTTCTCTTAAAATTAAAATATTTTTTAAAAGAGAGATGCAACATAATTTTCAAAGAGTCTTAGAATAATTAATTTAAATTAGTACTAAATGCTCAAATTTTAAATTCTATTCAAATACCTTTAAAAATCATAATAAAAAAAACTCAAATATATAAGATATATCTAAAAAAAATATAATAATATGTTATTTTAGATGTAGTCATTTTAAAAAATAATTCATAGAGATACTAAAAACTTGAATATAACAAAGTCATTTACTCTATCTAATAGAATTTTGAATCACTTAACCATGTTTTAAGAAATGTTATTAAGTTAACCAATAAATAGAGATTTTAAAATAATTTTTAAATCTTACAAAAATTTAATGATAATAAATACAAGATAGTATTTTTAATTTTAAAAGTTGAATTTCTTTTAATAAAAAAAATTAAAATTAAAATTAAAAAATTAAAAAATTAAAACTATGTAATATTACATTTGTGATAGGACTTAAATTAAAATCATCAAAAGTCTTAGATTCTTATAAGAGCATGATATATTCTTAAATTATTTAACCAATCAAATAAGAAATTTTTCTATTTTTAAAAATAATAAATACTTATAGATACAATTAAAATATATTTAAATTAATATTAATATTACATGATAAATATAATATTTTTTATGTTGTACATTTTAAAATATTATAATATTATAAAATATAAAAATATAAAAAATAGTATTTTTATTCATTTATCCATGTAATAAATCAAACTATGTTGAAAATCTTAGATTGTCTATAAACTATAAAGTTGTTTTATCACAAAGATTAATAATATCAAGAATATAAATAAAATATTTTTTCTTAGATAAAATTTAAATTCATTGAAAAAAATAACTTATAAATTGTAAAGAAAATGAGATAGAATATTAAAATATTCTATTGAATAATCAAAAACTAACATCCAAAGTATATCCTAAATTATTTTAAAGAAGTTTGTAAAGTTGTTTAGAAATAATTGAAAAGAATCTTATATAATCTAATCCATAATTTTAAAGTGTAGAATAAAAATTTATTAATCTTGAGAAAAAATTTTATATTCTTATTATATTATATTATATAAGATAAAAATAATAATAATATTAAAATCAATAAAATTTCAATAAAGTAATAACATTGTAGAATCTTAAATAAAAGGAAAAAAAAAAAAAAAAAAAAAAAAAAAAAAATCTTAGAGCAAGCTAAATGAGGCTTTACATCACAAATACTTAAAGGACATGGTTGTAAGACATCATCTTTTAATATTGATAGCCTTTATATATAAAAGTACATAAAGAATTTATTTTCTTGTGAAATACAAATTTCATCTGCTAAATGAAATCCGTTACTCTTATCTAAACCTCTTTGAATTTCAATCTACAAAGCTAGTATCATTCCTTGGCGCTAGATTTTACACACCAAGATCAATTATTGGATTTTGCACACTTGCTAAAAAAGTTCTACAAATGAGGAACCTGCAAATATTGTAAGTAGCAATATAGTTACAGCCTCCTCTCTTTTTGTGCTTTGTATTATTATTCTTATCTAAAAATTTAATTTTAAAAAGTACTTTATACAATGAACTTCTAGAGGATTATCTATAAGTAAAGATTTGTATTGGATCAAAGATTTTGTCCACAACATCAAAATTCAAAGCAATAATTGCTTACTTCAAATTAACTTATTGATAAAGGAATAAGTTCTTTTGTCTTTCTAAAATTTTACTAAAAATATTTATAAATTCATGTTTGTAATTTTTTGTTGTTTTATTAAATAAAATATATATATATATATATATATATATATATATAGCTACAAATTTATGTAAAACTTTGTCACTTGAAGCTTCCATTTTTCTCTACTAATTTGCTAATAAGCATGCATGCAAGGTTTGCTAAGCAATTTGAACAATACATTTGTGCACCAATCCATATCATCAAGAGATGAAGATTTTTTTTAGTATTTCTTGGATACTTATTAAAACAATATGGTGATTAAAATTTTACAATTTAATTAGAAATGCATAAATCTTAAAACTTCTTGGATAATAGAATTTTTTTATTTAGGATTTGGAAGTTTTAACATTTCTATACATGGCAAAAAGATACAATTTCAAGACCATCCGTACTTTACCTATTACATGCTCTATCTCAACACAAAATATTCATGTGGCTCAAATGAAAAATATTTTTTATTAAAGAATTTATAAATTTATCCTTGTCATTAAGTCACAAATTTTTCAAAAATTCCTATTATAGACATTCAAATTTAATCAAATAATTACTTAAATAATATGAATTATTAGAAATAAGTAAAAGTAAATAAATTTAATAAAATCTTACAGAGAAGCTTCTTAAAAGCTATATAGATGTGGCTTTGCCTTTATGCATATCTATAGGTGATTGATAGATTAAAAACTTGGCTAACAAATTGAACATGTGGCACTCATATAAGAAACTTGTCTTGCAAGTTAGACATGTGGCTTGTAAATTGGACATGTATTGGAGGTCCTATAGAATGCCACCATGTAGCTCATAGTTAGATAGTATATATAGATTCAAGAGTACAAAAGTCCTTTCTCTTGTCAATTCTTTTATTGCTTCTAGTCTAATTTTAAGAATCTCTAGTTTCTTAGTATCTGAATTTATTTATATTCTTTGAGTTCTTGTCCTTCACAATTTCCATACAATTAGTACCATTGATATTTTAATATCAGCTCAAATAGCTTTATTTTTTTTATTTGTCTTATTGTAGCATAGTATGAGCCACATCTTCATGAATTCATCAAATCAATCATTAGCTATGATAATAAGTTTTATATTTGCAAGAAAATTCTTTGGCATATGCTATCTACAAAGTAATTCTTTGGCATTTGGAAACATGCTTGGAATAGTAATTGTTAAGGATAGTTTTTAATTTACAAAAAAAAATCAAGAAGTCTAGATGAAGATAGATTCTAAAATATTTCTTCACTTTCTTGAAGGTCATCCATAATGTGATTCTTTATTATTACTTATAAAGCAATAAAAAAATGAAAATAATCAATTGGTAGAAGAAAAATCTATTCTATGTTGCAATATCATTTAGAACGTGCCCAAAGCAACAATAATCAAAAGTAAGTAACAAAGTATTAGATACAAGTAGGACATCACTATCTTTTGGAATTAAAAAGATTATTTATTTGTCTTGTAAGTGCAATTATAAAGATTGACAAAGTTTGGTAACCTTTGGCATTCTTTAGCAATTTCCAAAATAATTTTGGTATTAAAAAAATAGTAGTGCATGCTTGCTATTTTTATTGATTTTGATACCATGATTTATCTCTTTCTCAATAATGATGACTAATAGAGCCTCAATTAGTCACCTATTTGCAAGAGTTTTTGACTTCAATTTTTGCTTTTGAATTCAATTAATTAGTCTTTAATTAATAGACAAAGATCTAATACAAAGCAAAAAAAATGTGGAGGTTGTAATCAGCAAATGATATTGGTAATGAAGATTAAGACTAAAAGGTGGCAAATTATGCAAATAAGTTTTGTATTTGATAAGAAAAGATATTCTTTATACACTTTTATTTAAAGACTCTTAATATTGGAAGATGATGTCCCATTAATATAAGAATGATGTTTTGCTACCATATCCAAAACTCAAAACATTATTATACTAATTGTAGGTTAGAGCTAAGTTATTCCCAATTAATATATCAATGACTTATAAATTTAAAATATAAATTCTAATAATTAACATTTTAATCATATATATATATATATATACACAAGATAATTATAAAATACTATTAATTATAAAAAAACTAATATTTATTTTATAAAGTCAACCAATTATGCATGTTTATCAATAATGTGCTACATGAATCATTAGTAGTAGTCAAAATCTAAAGATAGCTCCAACAAAATGCTTAAAAAATAGAAAAATCCATGATGTAGCACCAATGTAAAATTTACCAATAAAATTCATCTACCTACAAGAATTGGAAATACAAAGTGTGAATCTAAAAGTTGTAAACTTTATCTGAAATTATCCTTTGTTGTCTATGAAAAAAACCACTTGTAAACAAAATGGAAAGTGATGAAAGCAAATATAATTTAACATTGAAAGAATCTATCTTCACTTCAATTAAAGAATTAACACACGCATCAACACCTCTTTAAATTACTATTGATTTCACAATTGATAGAGAGTCAAAACAATGCATCAGCATTGTTAAATAGTGAATCAAATCAATGCATGTAACATTATACCTCATGAATTTTCTCAAAAGAAATTCTCTTACTCTACTTCCCACGAATGTTGGTGAGATCGAGTAATGTGATGTTTGACAACTGATACATAGCATGGTAGTGCATCAAATCAATGCAGTTGTCATTTACTGGCCTCGCATAGTTCTGTCTATTTTGCAGAGAGAATTTTGAATTGCGTACATTGTATACAGGTCGGTAAGCAAGAGCTACAAAGAATTCATCATCGAATTTCCAAACCTGCGTGACCAATTTAAAGATGAGACACATTGCTAAAAGCTCAACACTACTCTAGGTGCAGGTTTAGAAGTTGACTACTAGCATCAACTAAGTTACACAAACCCAGAGAAATGCCGCATAAGTGTATAGTATTTCTCCTAAATTTTGACAAGGCGTGGAACTCACAGGTGGAATTGTGATGACTTGTGCAAAAGTCGCATTTCATATAAAATATCAGGGTTACTCCACATTCGCCATGTGTCCCACAAATGGTTGAACTGTCGCAAATGAGTGGACATTTGATTACGTTTTTGTTGCAAAAGTAAATACTTGTAAGCCTCTCCCAACGACTGATATGCAATATTGCCCCCTGTTTCACAAAGGTTTCACTATTTGAGTCACACGTGGCTACAGAATACGATAATTATGAGCACACTGGTGAAAAATGCTATAGCCAGAAGGAGCAACGTTCATACATTGAGGTTTAGTAAACAGCGACGACATGGAGCAGGTGATGCGATGGGTGTTGGCCAAGACATTACCTGATTGGAACTGATTCTACATGCAAACTCTCCGCTTCAGGTACGTCAATAACACAAAGATAGCATTCCAATAATGATGGGGACGATGATAAGCTCTTATCAATAGAATCCTCCGTATCCCTAAATGCTGTAGAAGACTCGCAGTAAGTTGCAATATCACTGAGACGCCAACATCGTAGCCGTTGATCCAGGCCTGTGCTAAATACCCAAGCACCATCCGTCCATATACCTATTAACAGACAAGCCATTAGAGGACAATTCATCACCAAAGTTGAAGAGCTTAGTAACCTCATTTCCCCATCATACCACCCTTTATGCTGCCCTCCCGAGTTCAGAAGAATTGTTTCATCAATTTACTTCCGGCTCTCGAGTATTGAGGGGTAGTAGACCATAAGTCATGTGATATTGGAGTACTTCAAACTTCAACACAAAATTTTCTTCATTCTACGTGGATCCATTGAAAAATTCATGGAACTTGGTGCGCACCTTTCACAGCTGAACTATGGGCTCCATGCACAGAAACCCGATATGTGGAATTGATAGCCAACTGCACCTTTGGTGCCGAGTCTCCTCGAGCTGCAGCAGATCCAACATGGTTAAACCTCTTGACAGACAGGCTATCAGAATTCAATGTATTCGAAAGCAAGGAAAATCTCTTCAATAAAGCGTATCAACGGCAGATTAGTAAGAAATATACTAATGTAGCGGGAAAACAAACCTAGTAAACTCTCTGCACTAGATGTCGCCGAAACATTCACGTCATCTCCAGAAGATCCTTTGGTTGGGGCACATTCATGAAGCTTCTCTTCAATTAATTCAAACCTCAGCACGTGTAGGCTTTGATCGTCTCCACCGCTAACCACGACAACCTCAGAATCTCTTTTCCCTATTACTGTTGCTGCGCTTAAGCAATTTACTCCAGATTGATGTGCTTCAGTAAAGGTGCAAAGAGGGTAAAGTACGGAAGATTGATAAGTGAAGCTTTCAGTTGCCTTCGACAGATCTTCCACTGGAACTGCAGCTCCAATATCTGCCTTGGAGTCAGCTACTGCACCTTCAGTGGTGTTTAGTTTCTCCTTAGCAACATCATTATTCGGACTGACAACATCAAATTCTCTTTCCACAACATTTTTACTAGCTTCTAAATTCTTTTTATCTCGAGATAGCCCCGCTTGCCGTTGCTTTTTCGATCGGGAGCGTCTGCCACCCTGACTGCCTCGCCCAGTGCGTGGACGCAACTGAATTCCTGTGCTAGACGTCAGACTCTGCATTCCTGACACCATTTGTCGTGTGAACGTAACAACTAAATTTGTTATGTCCCAAACGGCGATTGAACCATCAGTGGCACCACTGATAATGAGATACATATTCTGGCGACCACCTTCCATTGGAACAACTAGATGTTGTAATGCTAATACAGGTACTGTGTGGTGCTCCAAGACAGCTACTTCCACCCTGCATACCAGCATATATGCTTCAGTGTCATCCTCCAAATCTTCACAAAAGAAAACACTTTCTGTGTAGTTCAATAATTCAAAAACTTACCAAGTCCTCGTTGTGAGATTCATTCCAAGGAGCTTCAGTATTGCGTTGGAGCTTGCAGTAACCACAAAGCAAAAAACAGATCTGCATGTTCAACGTGTAAAATTGTCTTTGTAAGCTTCATGAAAATACTACCAAGAAAATAATAACTAGCTTAGTAGTCAAGAAAAAGGAGCTTGTCTAAATCAAAGGATAATTAACTCCAGTAAAAATGCAAGATGGAAAATAATAAGTGCCAGATCCTTGAAACATCTGGTGACCAACAAATTTGAGGAAAGAGACATCACCCGATGTCTAAAGAGTAAACTGATAATGCAGTCACTGCCAGAAATCGCAGATCATCGACATCGTTGGCCCCCACCGTTGACCCTCCAGTAAGCTGCTTCAGTTTCTTTTGTGTATCCTCTACTTCAGCTGATGCGTCCACATGCTGCTTGTCATAGACTTTTGAAGCAGTTTTCTCCTTTCTTCGCAGTTTGAAAGTACGAGGAGGGGAATAAGAGCATAGCCACCTTGAGGAAAGAACCTCAGTTACTAAATTTTGTTGCACATCGTCTTCAGAAACTGTACCAATCATTTCTACTTCGTCAACAGAAGCACTCCCAGAGTTGGGTTCTTGTTTCCACTCCAAAAGCCAGCAAGTAAGCACCTCCTTGGCACCGACAGATAAAAGCAATATTGGATCTTTCATACTAACGTCAAGATTACGAATGGATGGAGGTTCATAATGCACGTAAGTTTGAGCTCCTTGCACCAGCGTAAGGGCTCTCACAGCTGAGCCTCCAGTATGTTCACCGAGCATTAGAAAAGACTCAAGATTCGTTACCATCCCTGCATCATATCTGGCTTAACATAACATTAAGAGGTAAATATTTTGAAGATAATTCTAAACGTACGCACCACTAAAATCTTGTGATAGAAAGAGATTACTTTTAAAGAAAGAAGAAAGAATACTTTAACCATCTCTAGTATTCTTCATCAAATTCAACATGACCACACCAATTGCAAATAATAGCATGAGCTATTCCTGATGTGACTCTGACCTTGAGATTCGGACAGCACCATCCTCTGAACCCGTAGCTATCCACTTCCGAAGATGCTGGTCACTGGACATTGAAGTATTTCCAGCTGGTACAAATTGGACCGAATGTATCTCTCTGCCATGAAATTGTCCATGCAAAGATTGAGGCAACTGACTTATTAGCTTTTGAATTGAGTTGGGATTGTCGTCCTTTGTGATATCCATGGAATCAGGGAGCAGTGGCACATTAGCCCAATTTCTATGCACATGTATGATGTGATCCTGCAAAAACTTGTCAGTAGTCAATAAATGCACATGATAGAAAACAGGTGTCCGAACTGAGCTCCTCATGATGATTTAAGAACTGACCTTCAAAAATGCGAAACAACACTGATGCTCAGGGATATCCCCCACCACATATGAATGCGGCCGTCGCCAACCTCCACAAGCCACTCGCATAAGCTGCACAATCGAAGTGTCTTCCAGCTTTAGGTACGACGTCAGAAGATAAGGATGGTGTCAAAAAAAAAGCAGGGCACGCATGTTATGACCTTATCGGGCTCACTTTTGTTATTCTCACTGGTGACACTTTCAATTTACCAGAATTACTTCACTACTATGCATTGAAGAAGTGTAACGTTACCTCCGATTGTTGAGTCAGATCCCACAAAATAAAATTACTAGCAATAAAGCCAGCTGCCAAGCGCCGATTGCACTTCCTCTGATCTTGACGACGTTCCACAGACTCCACTACTGTGATAGCAGAAACATCTTCTACCCCAGTGCATGCAAAACTTTGGCTAGTTGATTCTCCATTGTCTTTGATGGTAACAGTATCAACGAGAAACTTGCATATACAGCCATCCCTCCCTGTCTGCACCCCGTCACATAAATCAGTCCCTTGATTCATTAGTAACCATCGAGAAAAGGCAGTCTCTGAATACTAAAAAGTTCTCATGTAGGTTATAAATGAAAATATCAGCCACGAGATTTCCTGAAATACGTACTGAGGTTATTACTGCGTCCTTGCTGTTGATTGATGATGCCACATAAACACTAGCCACTGGAGATATTCCATGAGCTCCCTTGAAAACGCCAACACTCTGAAGCTGCAATGGTGCTCCCAAGCCCTCTCGAGTATGGCTTTGAAGAAAAGTTTTGGGAAAATTGAATAATACTAAGTTTCCTCGTTGATCCCCACATACGAGTAACTAAGTGGCAATAAAAAAATAAAAAATAAAAACATGATTTAATAACATGTCGGAAAGAATATTGGAACAACTTTACAAGGCAACTCCGAACTTAATCCATTGAACTTCACGTGGCCCAAATTATCCTTTAAGCCTATAGACCAAACACAAGATATCAACAGATTCAAGTGTTTGAGAAATCTAAAACAAACAACAATGTCATGGATTGGATGCGCAACACTAATTTATACATCAAATTACCTCAGCTAAGGGGCAAACATCTAAGCAGACGATTCGAGCTTGCAAAGATGATTGATAGTTTGCAATTAGCAGAGCTTGAATCTGAGAATCCTGCCCTTCAGCTGAAGCCTGAACCTCTAAACATCGCTCCAAAAGCCACACTCGTACAAGTCCCCTTGGATCAGTGGTAAATGCAAACCTGTCAAACAGAGAATACAACTCAGACAAATACAGTCATAGAACAGTAATGACATAGACTGCATTCTCTTAAAAGAACCTACCACGCTCTAAGATAAAACAAATTTGTGTAGTTATCCTACGCACTAACAGCAAGAGGGTCCATGCAAAAAGTAAAGAATGATCATTTTGTAAAATCACCTTCTTCCTAATGATTTGCACCAAAATACTCCAAGAAGCTGTCTCTCTCGATCTGCCAACCATTTGCATTGCCAAATCACAGTTGGCTTATTTCCAAGAATTCGAACTCCTATAGCAGTGGCAATGCCTGAACCATTACCGAATGCCACCATCGCATCCTTCTTATCTTCATTGGGAGCACGTCCGACAACAGCAGCCCCATCAACTAAAAGATCCATGCACACAATTGGACCCGAGATTTCCCCATGTGTAATCTCTGTCCAATCTTGTTTGGCGCTATCCAATAAGGCTACATGGTATGCATGGCCTTGATTTGTCGCAATGTAGAGTGTTGCAGGACCAGCAAGATGCAAGCATCGCACATATTCACTGTTGCTAACGACCCAGATGAAACATACCTCCCCAATGATCAGAATGACAATATATTTCACAATTGCTCAGATCAGGTTTTGATAAAATCTTGAACCAATAAGTTAAGCCGCTTCTGATGAGCAATAAATGCCATAATACATCCATTCACGTATAGAAATGATGTTGGCACTGCTATTCAGAAGAACTGAGGGTTAAGAGCATACAGGTCCATGTACAATTTCATCGGCTGAATTACGAAAGTCACCTTCAACAAATTCTTAACTTGACATTAAAAATCCCATTCGCAAATCCACAAACACAAACTAATAATCCGATGTCATTCACAGCTCAATGGGAATTTTAGATTGGCACCTGTCCATAGAAGTAGAGGAGCCTTCACCGAGAACGTTAGGCCCAATCAGGGAGATACGGAATATTTCAAGCTTTGATACTGAGGCCTGTGGTAGAGACCGCAGATTGTTAGGGGCTCCTCCTCGTACGTAAACCAGAGCCTCATGGTTCCACTTGGCAAGTGACTGGACTTTGATCGCAGAATCTGCTCCTGCTGTCACAAGTATTTCTGACTCGTGATTGTACTCGCAGCGCCATATTCCTCGACCTCTGTACGCAACCAAACACTTCTTTGAAAACAAAATGCAGCAAACATATGATCACATTTAGGTGGAAACAAGCAAACCGACATGCAGAAGGATTCGGCCTGCCTTTCATTACTCCACACACGTTCACAAGCACTCGAAAAACATCAGATTCAAAGATCAGTAACTAAAAGACATTTGTATAAGAATCGAATTCCTTGAGACTGAATGACTTACAGCCTATGGTACAGAATTTAGAGAAGAGTACAAGAGCAAGTCGACTAGTAGGAGAGGCTCACTCACGTGTGACCAGTCAATGTGGCTAAATGATGACCTTGCCGAGTCCAGATACGACTAGTACAATCTTCACTGGCTGTTATCAGCAGCTAATATCCACATTACAGTACATCAAAGCTTATCGTCAGTTGAATTCCAAGCGAATGAAGATACATGAGTGTCCTCTATAACTAAGACTTGAAGCAAACGCATAAACATAAATTGATCAAACTGAGACATCCATGTGCTCAAACATAACACGCACATTATCTGCAATCTGGCAGTCCCATAATCGCGCTCCATGCCCATACAGCACTGGACCAGATGTGAACAATAATGTGTCTGTAGCTGGTCTTGACCATATCCGCGCACTGGCACAATTAAAGAGATGAAGAGTCGAATCTGTTAGTATGGAAATTCACCTGCCTGCTAAGAATGACACCCCTCATTCGAAGGTGCTTACAGATCTTGACAAGAAACAAGTTAAATGTACTTAGTTTCTCATGAATCGAGAAATAAGAGGAACATGAAAGACATGCATATCACACACAAAATCAAAATTTCAAAATCAAAAACACAAAGATTCAAGGACGAAATAAGCTGCCCACAATGAACTGGGCTCTATGAAACACTACAGACCTGCGATCATCAGAAGCTGAAGCAAAACAAAGCCCATCTTCAGACCAAGATATTCGATGGATGGATCCTTCATGCCCCAAAAGCTCTTGTAAAGGTTCAGCAGTCCATGCAAGTGGAACTGTGTTGTTCCCTGCATTGTTAATATTCCGAAACAAATCAAGACACTTCTGTTGCTTATCTTCCTTGTTCCAACATTTCGCATCCCAAATAAGTACCTGTAAAGAAAATTTTGATTCAACGCACAGAACAGAAAAAATTGAGCAACAAAATCGAGGGCTCTCAGAATAGGGAAATTAAATTAAATCAAAGAGGGCCGGAAAAATAAGTTAAAAGATAATCCATTATAAGAACTTTACAAAAAATTTGAGACGAGTTGCTGATTCATTTGACAACGTAAATGTGGCAAAAGCAATAGTCGATAAGAATAAATAAAAAGCTAGGTTCTAAAAAAGGATGTTACAAACCGGACCTAGTATCTATGCGGAATTCATACTGACCTTGTTGAAAATAGTGCCAGCAGCTACACAGAGTGATTCAATGGAGGAGCCCCAAAGCCTAAGTGAATACAATAAGCACCTTTCTGTAATAGAACCACAAATTATAGTTGAGAGGCATGATGTAATGACGGTTAAATGAACGCATTATTAAGGAATAGAAACCAAGTCTCACTACAGTAGCAACCTTCTGAATTTACAAGTCACTGTAAATGTCTGCCTTGGTTGATCAGAAGTTAACATACTCACCGGAGCATTCGACGCGTAGAACTACAGAACATTTTTGTAAGTTCCAAATCGAGACGGAATTGTCACTCAAACCAACTGCAACTAGGTCCTGTCTTTCCCCTCCCGTCAAGGATGACTCCTCCTATTTCAAGTTGAAGACACACACTTGCCATCAAATATACACAATCTTCACTGTAGATATTGTCAACCCACTTAACAAATCGTTTTCAAGAACGTACTGTAATAAACTGAATGATCAAACAATGCTTCACGTAGTATATCAGCTCAAGCACTGACTCCTGAACCTCAAAATGATTGCCTTTCATGTCACAATATGATGTGGAGTTTCAGCCAAATATAGATTGCCAATTGTGGAGGGACACCCCTTAAATATTAATGCACAAGCATAAGAAAGCCATGAAGGGTTTAAGATTTCGACATAAACAAACAAAATTCACTGGACCAGACTATTCCACCTGCAAAAATTTGACGTCAAGGACCCACTGAAAGAAACGAGGTAACGACTGCTCGATGCAAAGACTGAAGTCTGCTGCTTTTTTTTTATAACCGCCCTGAAGCTTCAAAATCTTCACTCTACCTTCACCGTGTACAGCTATGGTTGCTAGATTGTTTGATTCAGGGTGGTCAGCAGGATGATCACGACGAACATGAATTCCGTGCACTCGGACACCATCAAAAACATGTTGAGAAAGGAGAAGATACCCTGTCGCCAAGTCATATAAAAGTATCTGCGGGCCAGTACCTGCAATGGATTCTCAACAACCATAAGCATTGTAAAATTCGTAACGGGTTTGGAATGAAAGAGGCAAATTTCATAAGGAAAACGAATTACCTTAGAACACAAACAACAAAACAATCATTAGGTTCACTGCAGCATCTACGATGCATCCACTACAATGCACTCTCTGGTCTGCAATAACCTGATCCGGTCCCAAGGAAAGCTATGCAAGTCGATGGAAGCAGGAGAAAACTCTTCGCCCAAATTTATAAAAACAAATAAAAAAACAAAAAAACAAAACAAAACAAAACAAAACAAACAAAAAAAAACAAACAAACAAACAAACAAAAAACTCGTGTGAGGAGGAAGAAAACGGGACGAAACAAAAACCTGCAACAAGATATGGCAATGAAGGAGTGGAGAGAAAGCAAAGTGCTGATACATCGCCCAAGTATGGTCCCTTAAACACTCCACAATCCCCGAGACTTGCTTCTTCGTCTTCTTCTTCGCTCTGCATCGCAACAACTTCAGCGCGCCAGCCAGAATCACGTTTCTCTACCTCAATGACAATGCCTCCCACTGACTCCATGCCCATGGCTACAAGCTCTACTCACACAGTGTGAACCAATACTTTTCTACATAATTGGAATCTCCTCCCTGCAAATCCACAAAACAAGCCTGCGTGCACGGCACCGAAATACACTAGTTCGCCGCTCAAGCCGAAGTCCAGTGTCCAAGCTCTACAGCAAATCGAATGACTTTGTTCATCCATGTCGGCAACTGAAGGATCTCGTTCGGTATTTTTCATCCATTTAATTCGGTCTTCTGAACCCAGGTCAGAATTAGGGCTTGGAATCCAAAATGAGGACATAATTGCAGAATTTAGTTGATTTTAAACCAATTATAGAAAATATACATTATAATTAAATATTTTATAAATAATAAATCTATATAAGTATGTACCTGTCCATGTTCTTGATATTTAATCTTCATAAAAAAACAATAATAACAATAATAAACAATTGTTTTTGTGCTTGAGAATGCAGACATTTCAATTTGATTTTTTTTAATTTTTTCCAATTTGGCAATCACTGTCAATCATTTTCATCAACAGCAAAACTTTAAACTATTTGGAAGTTGATTCACGTTATATATTCAATCAAAAATACACATTTAAAAAGATTATTTCAAGAAGTAAGCAAAATAACATTATTAGATTTGTTTGACTGATTTTTGTTAAAGAGCATTTAGTATTTAACATGTGAATAATTTTGACTTTTGATATAGAAATTTAAATTATGTATATATGTACTCATACATACATGCATGCACGCATAATGTTCCCCTTATCAATTGATACCATTTGTTGCAAAAAAAAATATTAATTATCAAAAATTATTGATCATCAAAGGTGGCACATCAACAAAGGCAACATGGAAATCATCCTTACCAAAACCCTACTATCTAGACTCCTTGTTTCCATCTTAGCAACCATGTGGCATTGCTAACCAAGTGGCTTTGCTAGTTAATAAAAGTCCATGAAAATCAATTACCTTTTTAAAATTATAAGTTATTAATTATGTACCATATAGTGAAGTGAGTTCTCAAAATTTCGATTTCGATTCATTATTGGGAGTTTTTTTTTTCATTTATGGAGGATAAACTACTGGGCAAACCGTGTGTATGAATGAATGATGAGATCTTCAAATATGATATTTTGGAGTTATGTGACAAAAAGCACATTTATTATTATTTTTTTAGTATAATTGGTTGACATGCTTGCAACTAAGTACAATATTCTTTTGGTGTTGTTGTTTTAAATTTGGAAATCCAATTGTATAACTATACATTTCAAGAATGAAAGATTATATTAACTAATATATTGATTAACTGGACAGAGTATTACATGTATATAAATGGTATTTCACATTATTTATTGTTTATTAACAAGATACAAGTTTCAACTTTAATAGACAAGTTTTACTTTTGTTGTATATCAGACCAGGATTTCTGTGAAATGATCTTTTTGAAATTATGTAAATAAAATCAGTTATGATTATTTTTGAATATAGTACAAGTTAGAATTTACTTTCTTATAACTTAATTTGGCCTTATTTGTTTGTAGGTGATTGAATTATGAATAGTGGATGAATGAATATGATGTTGTTTCAAATTACAATCCTATAAAAAAAAAAACACTTCCTTGGTTAGATTGTAATCATTTCAAAGAAAAATGCTAATTTTATTTATTTATTTATTTATATCATTTTCTTACATACATTGGTAAGATGATATCTGTATAGATACATACACACAATATACTCTATATCAGCTGTGTCACATAAAAACAATGTGTTCCTTCAAATATTAACATACATTTTTTTTATAATAACAATTGCTGTAACTTTTTGTCACATGCACATAATAATTTTGGAAAATATGAACTATTCAATTTTCAAGAAATTCCAACAATGAGATCAATGGCACCAAATTGGTGTACAAAGTAACTCAACGATTTTCTAATTCTTGTTATAATATTATTGTATCAAAAACGTTAATTCAAAAGCATGTTTCCATCGCTTCTCAAGTAAAAAAATGGAAATTTAATTCCAGCAGAACCCAAGTGGGACCACAGTGAAAATTTCAGTAATTTACATTTACTTGTTAATCGAAAGTGTTAAGGCCACGCTCTATATTAGAAAGACTTGCTAAAGGGGGACCTGAAACGATCGCCACCGTTCATGGTCAAAGGATGAGGCATCTACACATTTATCATCTAAAGGATGAACTTAGTACAAAACATTCGTTCTTTGACAAAACCCTAATAGTAGCTCGTCTCTCCAGAGGGGTAAAGCTTTTTTTCAGGGTTAGGATAGCTCCTTTTCGCCCTCGAGCTGGGCAATCAGTGTTCCGCTAACACCAGCCGCTGCGTCGAACTCGCACTTGTTTCACTGCATTCTTCACCATGGTACTACTCACTTTCTCCTTTCCTGTCCCAAAATTATGCTTTGTTATTGAATATGTGCGCTGCGTTGTGGTGCTGGTTTGAACCAGGACTGAAACCTAATTCCGGCCACATTTGGATTGAGGAAATGAGACAATTTGTTTGCGTATGCAGGCGGACGCTGCAGAAGTTGAGATTGCTCAACCCAAGAAAAGAACCTTTAAGAAGTTTACTTTCCGCGGCGTCGATCTCGATGCTCTCCTCGACATGAGCATGGATGAGCTCGTTGAGCTGTTTCACGCCCGTGCACGCCGCAGGTTCGTGCTGTTCGATCTCTTACCGCTGCATGGAATTTGAAACAGTGCGATTTGTGCCCAGAAACTCATGTCGTGATTGTTTATTGGTCCTTTTCGACATGAGGTTGAAAGTTGGATTTATTGGTATTGTTAACGAGCGAACCAGTTTGAAGCTACGAATCCTCATTCCTTTTGGTGGAGCTCACGCTGCGAATTCCTTGGTTGTCTCGTTTGATGGAATTCCCCGAATCACCATGCCTCATTCCCCTTGAAAACCCCTTTGGTTGTGGAAATGGTCTAGCTTCTCTTGTATTGTATTCCTTTCTAAATAGTTGTTATAGCTTAACAAAGCCGCATTTCGTACAGTGCTTCAGTACATGTGACATCATTGTATGATTCGAAGTATGATTCAACCTTGTAAATTTGTTCGACAACAATTAGTTATTAGCAGTGGTACAAATACCTAGTAAAAGATTTAACCTGCTATGAAGTTGTGTTTTGTATAACTTGGCTCAATTCACTGCAATTGTCAGTACTTGTTAACCAGATAGTAACACTACTGGAATGCTTCCAAATCTTTTGTGCGTATTTGCAGGTTTCAGCGTGGGTTGAAGCGCAAGCCGATGGCTCTTATCAAGAAGCTGCGCAAAGCAGTACGTTAAATACTTCCACTCTGATCCTGGTTGTTTTATAAACTCCTTTTGCCATGAGCCATGGAGTATTGAAAGTCATGCGGTATAACACTTGTGAGTCTCATGGACATACAGTATCTTGATACCCTCTCTGTATAATTGCAGAAACGTGAGGCACCTGCTGGTGAGAAGCCTGAGCCTGTGAGGACACACCTCCGCAACATGATCATTGTTCCAGAGATGATCGGTAGCGTCATTGGTGTGTATAACGGCAAGACCTTTAACCAGGTCGAGATCAAGGTAATAAGAATTTTCCACTCTTTCGGAAGTCTAAACCCGGTTCAATTAGATTCTTTCATGGTGATGTGATCAGGATTGTTAATTTTGGTTTTGGTCTCGAAGGTGTTTTCCCTTTTTTCATTTTTAAATCTTTTATTCAAGAGTATTAATCATGGTGTTTCTTTGCAGCCCGAGATGATTGGACACTATTTGGCTGAGTTCTCCATCTCGTACAAGCCCGTAAAGCACGGTAGGCCCGGTATTGGAGCTACCCACTCTTCGCGATTTATCCCACTCAAATAGACAATCGGTACTTCGAGCGGCAGATTACTGATGTGCGATTTCTATAATTCAAGAGCATCTTACTTTTAATGCACAGATGTTTCCTCATGTATGAATTCCTGGATCGCAACCTTCGAGATTTGATTCAAGATAAAAAAATAAGTCTTACACACAGAATGACTATACAGAATCATCGCAAGTTTTGCTGCAATCAATTTATCACCCTTATTATGGAATTCCATTTATCTTAATATTTCTTGCTAATACTATGTACAAGAATAAAACCGAAGATACTTAAAACTAAACAATTGGTTTAAATCAATGTTATTTAGGTGGAAGATAGACACTACTCGAATTGTATTGGTTTTAACAATTGCTTTATATTCTGCGTTTGGCTTATAATGTTGAAATCACTTTATTGCATACTATATTTGAAATTAGTGAAGTTGAGTACAAATTTTCTTTAATTTAAAATCATATTTCGGTGCTAAATAAATTTATACTCTTAAAATGTAAACCTCATGATGTGAATGAATTCAACTCTTGTTGTAGTAAAATTTTCAATGAATCACATTAATATTTTTACAATCTTATGATGTCGTGACTAATTCAAATGTAAATGAGATACTCCATAAATTTTCTTCAATACAGAAACCATTAGTATCATATTTACTTAGAAGTATGTTTCCGTTCAGGTACATTTTCCGGAATTATGAACCTTCAAAAGTACCCATCACACTAATGTATACATAAGGACGGATTTAACCTAATGACACTTAGGCTTTGCAAGATCGAAATAAAAACAAGCTTTTGATATTTAGATAACTGCTCTTAAAAAAAACAAACAACCTTTTCCTTGGTTTTGTATTTTTAAACATATTTTGATATTTACCCTCGTCAATATTGCCTTGGTTTATTTGTAAAGGTTGATCTGAAAACAATAGGAGGAACTTGTTGTGTAGGAACACTATCCATCATCAACAAAAACTAACATATTGCTTCGAACATATTCAATTGCCTTGAACACATTCAAAAAACATACATACTTTTGAAACAAATGGTTTGTGAGCTTGCAAGAAATAATTAGACAATGCTGAAATTGCTTGTTTGTATGCACTTGTAAACACACGAATACATCACCCAACTCAAAAATACCCACATATTTTAAATAACATTTTGGGTTGAACAGTGCTTTTTGAATGGAGGCTATTTTGTTAATTTACAAGTGTAGTAACACTTACATTACAGAAAGATACCATTGAGTTCCTACGCTATTTAAATCATCCTTATAATAAATAATTATAATAATAAATCAAACTTACGATTTTAGCTTTTCCTGGACCTCATTTTGCTGACGATCAAAATACTCCACGTAATGGCACGCAATTCTGTTGACAATAAAACCCACACTAAATACTAGGTTCATTGAGGACCATAGATTCCACTCCCAAGATCGGATGGTGTGTGATCGTCTCGATCGGGGCACCGGAATTTAGGGTTTCGAGGTGGTCGTGCTCTCGGGGGTTGAAGGCCTCACGGGAGCCTCTGTTTTCCTTCTCTTTCCACGCTTGCGATTGTAGTTGGTTGGAAGCTCTGTTGGCTTCAACGCAAAAATGGTGCACGTCGCTTCGTTCCGCAATTGTAAGTCATCTTATTTACTCAGACTTTACGTATTTGTTGCATACTAACTCACTGATACCGACTGTGTGCCTGTGCTTTTCATGATAAGAGTAGTTTCATCCAGGATAGGGTATTCATGGGTTTAGTTTGCGGTTCAGTCCCGAATTATGCAGTCCGTGTGAATTCGCTTGTAGCATCGTTGTCGACCCCCGATCTCGACTAATTTTTCATTAATTAGGGTTTCCGGTTTTACATACTGGTGTTTAGGGTGTTGATACTAGTATTAGTTCTGGCGATAGTGATCGTTTCCTTGGCACGTCCTTCGTGTAGATGGCAAGACTTTTAAGAAGCCCCGCAGGCCCTTCGAGAAGGAGCGCCTTGATGCTGAGCTGAAGTTGGTCGGAGAGTATGGTCTCCGCAACAAGCGTGAGCTCTGGAGAGTACAGTACGCTCTGAGCCGTATCCGAAACAATGCGCGTATGTTGCTTACCCTGGACGAGAAGAACACCCGTCGGATCTTCGAGGGAGAGGCACTTCTTCGACGTATGAACAGGTACGGTCTTCTCGATGAGAATCAGAGCAAGCTTGATTACGTGCTGGCTCTGACCGTGGAGAACTTTTTGGAGCGCCGGCTTCAGACTCTCGTGTTCAAATCTGGGATGGCCAAGTCCATCCATCATGCCCGAGTTTTGATCAAGCAGCGTCACATCAGGTGTGTTCTATGATCTGGAGATGTATCATTGGGTGGGATTTCTATCAATCGATTCCTATGGTTACGAATATTTTGCAGTTAATTTTGCTGAATTTCTGCTGCGATGATTCTCCTCTATCGAACCAGCCCTGGCTCGAATATTTACTATCCGGATTCTTTATAATGTAATTACGGATCTGTACGTATCGTGTCATAGCAGAGTGAAATGCGCTGATATATTCATTTTGTTGTGTGTTAATCATCTTTCGTGTGCAATTTGCAGGGTCGGAAAGCAGATTGTTGATGTGCCGTCATTCATGGTCCGCGTTGACAGCCAAAAGCATGTTGATTTCGCCCTATCCAGTCCACTTGGTGGTGGAAGACCTGGTAGAGTGAAGCGCAAAAACATGAAGGCTGCGTCCAAGAAGGCCTCCGGCGGAGATGACGATGAGGAGGAGGATGATGAGTAGATCGATTGCTGTTCATTCCTAGCAGAGGGTTCAGTGAAATCTTTTGCTTCTTATAGACATTAAAGAAATCGTTGCCGCACGATGCATTATACCATGGGACTAATGCATCAATCATCGATCTTTTGAACTTCGGATTTCGAAAGTAAACAGTGTCGTGATCACATTTTTTCGCCAATTCAGTAGCTTGCTTTTTTCGTCTGCTGATTTTGAGCAGGTGATGTTGATTGTACCGAAGACAACGAAGTGTTTCGATGTTTCTTTAATAGTGAGCAACTACCCAAAGCTTTTGGTGTCTGGTGGTACCTTATGTATTCTTGTCACACACGTGGTTTTCTTCCCATGCAAGCAGGATTGAATTCTCCTTATTATTTAGTCCTTCAGAAAAGGATTGTAGAATATATAAGGTGTAGTCTTCTCCAAGATAGAATATGAATATATTTTGCGAAGTTAATGGATCCGAAAACATTTCCCTTACCAAACTTCCCGTGTGATGCACAGCTTAAGAGATCATCGAAATGAACAGTGTGCAGTTTTTTCCACATGCTAAGTCTTGTCCATTGTCGAAGACAAACTGTCAATGTTGGCTACCTGCAAACTTTGACATAATGCTTGGCACATTTGGAACTTGTTGCAGAATCCAGCAAGCGTAAAAGAAAATTGCCGATACATGGATTTAGAAAGCCGAGAAAAAGCGATATTCCATGAATCACTCGAATAGATTATGCTTCATTCTAATTTTACCTCATTACATTACAGTTCTTTCATTTAACAGTAATCTTAGTATTGCTCAATGATCTTTATAAATATATGTTTGTGGGTGTGTGTACATGCACAAGTATATATACAGATGTATCTTGTTTAACTTAAAATCTTGGTGGAAGGAAATTTAGTAAATTATGTAAGGAATATTAGTTAAGGATTATAAGTTTTTGACCTAGAAAAACCCTGTGTTCTCACAAATATTAATAGGTGAATGAGGAATATTAGTTGATGAGGATAAATCAAGCTGGGTACATTTGTCTATATAAATATATATAATTTAAGAAATAAATATTTGATTTATTTATTTTTATATATTTCAAATATATTTAAAATAAAGTTTACACCATAAATGATTGAAATGTATTTAAATGTAATGTTATTATATAGTAAATAAAAAATATACACAAAACGAAAATGATAATACCATATATCGTAAGTATGATGTTTTTTTCAGTTATATATCTATATATATATACCCACATCAGTAATAAAATTATATAAAGTTAAAATCATTTTTTTTATATTTGTGATTATCTTTTATTGAAAAAAATATCTATAAATTTACTCATAAAATTTAATATATAAAATCAATAATGTATAAAAATTACATATTTAAAATATATATTTATCAAAAAAACATCAATATATTGTAGTTTTTTTATATTTTTAACTAATTATAATTAATTTATGAATAACTAAACAAAAAAAAAATTAAAAATCACATATTTTATCATGGATATCCTTTAAATTTTATCAATTTTTACTTGTCATCAATGTCAAGGACAAAGACTCGATGAGGAAAAATATACACCAAAAGGCTATCTCGATATAATAAGTCAAAATATAAACAAGTAGGTATATTAAAAGGAAACTGGAATGGCTATTGCCACAAGACAAGAAACTAAAGACTCTTGAACCTGGAGTAGAAGCAAGAAAGGAGTTGACAAGAGTGAAGAAGCCTTCACTCTTGTCTCTATATATACTATCTAACTAGGGGCTACGTGGCGACGTTCTATAGGACCTCCAATATGTGTTGACTTTGTAGGACACATGCCTTGACTTACAAGGCAAGTTTTTTTACGTGTGGGCCACATAGTTAGCTTAATCTTCAAGCTAACAACATGTGTGGCACATGGCCAACTTGTTGACCACGTTTTTAATCCAAAAAGTCAATTAAAGACACCTATGAAGTCAAAGCAGCGTCTAGGAAGTTTCTAGGAAGCTTCTATATTAAATATTATACAATTAACTTACTTTTATCTACTTTTACTTACTTCTACCTATTTCTATATGTAATTATTAGCTTACATGATTATGGCCGTGACATTACCCCCCCTTCTAGAGACGAGTTCCACGAGGAGCGGTCATCATATGTTGAGGAAATCTATGATGCGACGAATTATATTCGCCACATACTCTGATCTCTGTTCTCTTCGAAGATGATTGATAGGGCCTCTCAACCATCGGTAGTGTCCCATACCAGGGCGGGAAGACCACCCAGTTATTTGATTATTATTGAGGCCTTCATAACTTCCTTCGAATAAAATATTCGGAACACCATCAGGAGTTGTTCCTACCTCTAGCAAAATCACCAAACATCGGGAGTCCCTTCCCAAATCGTGATACCAAACGCGTTGTATCTCACCATCTGTTCGAGGAAGAACATGTCGTTCTTGAAGTTCTTCATCTCGATTGCGTCGTCTTGAAGGTTGTGACAATCGTAATGTCTCGTCCGGCAGGTCAGCAAACGAAGGTTCTTGAGTTGAATCCGCTGGTTGTTGGCTCTCCATCTAATTAGCGTTACAAATGTAAAGAAGTTACAAACAAGGATAGGAAATTGAATGTTATCTTGCCTCAATCTTGTCTCTTTTATAAGAGAGATTTTCATCTTGGTTTTGATGGATGTCGTTGATGAAAAACTTTGACTTTAGCTGATGCATTTGCTAGATTCCTGGATGGCTCCCATGTGCGTTCACTAATATCATATCCGCGCCAATGAACAAGATATTCCAGCTTATTTCGGCGCCGCCTTGAGTTTAATATCTCTTCCACCTCAAATTCTTCATTATTATCTACTTCTATAGGAGGCGGTGGCATTTGTCTTCTTCCTTGTATATCCACTGTCTTATATGGTTCAAGAAGAGACACGTGGAATACAGGATGGATCTTCATTGACTCCGGTAGATGTAACCGATATGCAACTGGGTTGATCTGTTCAGAAACAGAAAAGGGGCCAAGCCTACGATAGTCCAATTTGTCACAAGGTCGAGTGGTCTTGATATTGCGACGAAGTAGCCATACCTTATCACCCACGTTGAGTTGTGGTTGCTCTTTACGATATACATCTGCATTTATCTTTTGTCGTTCTTGAGCTTTCTTCAACTGCGCCTTCATTATTGCATGTAACTCTGACAACCGATTTGCCATATCTTCTGCTGCAGGATTATCAACTTTTGAAAAATCAAAATTATCAAGTCGTGGATGATAGCCATAATTGGCAAAGAAAGGTGTTTGTTGCGTGGAAGAATGTACCGTATTATTATAAGCAAACTCTGCCAATGGCAGAAGGGTTGTCCAATCATCTTGTTGGTAGTTGATAGTACACCTTAAATATTGCTCCAAGACTTGGTTTACGCGCTCTGTTTGTCCATCAGTTTGAGGATGGAAAGCCGAAGATAGCTTTATGTCCACTTTTAAAATCTTGAAAAGGGTCCTCCAAAATCTTGACACAAATTGAGTTCCCCTATCCGATATGATATCTTTAGGTAATCCATGATAGCGATAGATATTATCAATGAAAAGCTTAGCTGTTTCTTCACCTGTGATAGATTTTGTACATGGCACAAAATGTGCCATCTTGGTGAAACGATCTACTATCACAAATATAGAATCATAAGATCTTGAGCTTGGAAGATCTGTGATGAAATCCATAGAAACAGAAGACCATGGTTGTTCTGGTATAGGTAATGGCTGAAGAAGTCCGTAAGGTCGATGACGAGGAATTTTTGATCTTGAACAAATATCACATGATTGTACAAAGTCTTTGACTGACTTCCACATTTGTGGCCACCAAAAATCTCTTGATATGAGTTCCAAAGTCTTATTATATCCAAAGTGCCCTGCTGCTGGAAAGTCATGACGTGCTTGAAGAACACGTAAACGTGCTTCTCCTTCTGGAACATATAGGCGTCCTTCAAAATATAATAGATTATTCTTGAACTCAAACTTAGAAGGATCATGAGACTTGGAAGAATTATTCTCGATATCATAAACAAGAGGGTCTGAGGACATATTGGACTGGATTTGCTTGAGAAAAGTTGAATCAACAGTCAATGTTGATTTCATTGCTCGGAGATGAAATTGCTCCGGTTTCAAGAGGACCGTTCTTTGTTGCTCAAAAGCTGCATCTTCTTCTTTTGGTGCAAAATAAGAACGTCTAGATAGGGCATCAGATAAACCTTGTTGTTTTCCTGGCCGATAAGTGATAATGAACTCGAATCTTGACAAAGACATACTCCAACGAGCTTGACGACGATTCAACACGCGTACTGACATGAAATACTCGAGGTTCTTGTGATCTGTATACACAGTGACTGGACTAGAAGCGCCTTCTAGATAATGACGCCATTCTTGAAAGGAATCCACGATCGCAAGAAGTTCTTTATCGTGGATCTCATAATTGATCTCGGCTGCTGAGAATTTTCTTGAATGAAAAGCTATCGGATGGAGTTTGTCATCTGTTCCCATTTGTGATAAAACTGCACCCAAGGCAAAATCTGATGCATCTGTTTCCATAAAAAATGCCTTGGAAAAGTCAACACGATATAAGACTGGTGCAGAAACAAACGATGTCTTCAAGGCTTCAAATGCTGCTTCCGCTTCTTGATTCCATTGAAATTTATCTTTACTAGTCAAGCGTGTAAGTGGAGCTGCAACTCGTGAGAAATCTTTGATGAAGATCCGATAGTAATTGGCAAATCCCAAGAAACATTGGACATCTCTTACCGTCCTTGGAATCTTCCAATCCACGATTGTTTGGACTTTCTTAGAATCCATCATGAGACCATCATTTGAAATGATGTATCTTAAAAAGTCAACTTGAGTAGTGTGAAATACACACTTTTCCATCTTGGCGTATAATCCTGCATCTCTAAGTTTTTGTAATACTTGACGAACATGTATTTCATGTTCTTCGACGTTCTTGGAATAGATCAGGATATCGTCTAGATAGCAGACGACAAAATTGTCTAAGAATTCACGAAATATATCATTCATGAGATGTTGAAAAGCAGTTGGTGCATTCGTGAGTCCAAAGGGCATGACATTATATTCAAAATGTCCATACCTAGTTCGAAACGCAGTCTTCCATTCATCTCCTTCTTTGATCCGTACTAGATTATATGCTCTTCTTAGATCTATTTTTGTATAGATCTTAGCTTGATTCAACTGGTCAAGGAGTCCTGATATCAAAGGTAATGGATACCTGTTCTTGATTGTGATCTTGTTGAGTCCTCGATAATCAACACACATTCGTAAAGATCCAAC